TGTGACAAATATCCCCATTTGGCCGTGTGTATCATTTCACTGTGAAAAATGTCAACATTTAACCATGTGTGTCAAATGTCCTTAGTGTGAAAAATATCCCAATATGATATTGATTAGCATGTCAAAACACGAATAGATATCTCGATTTTAACATGACAATCCTGTGTGTACCGTGTTGCATACCCAAATTAAGTGTACCACTTTCATATCATTGCAAGTATGTGCGTGTGTGAGGGAGTTTATTTTCCAGAATTTTGCTTTCGTTATTACCCATAGTCCTTAAAAAATAGAAAATATAGCTACTTTTCAAGGTATACTGATCTCCCCACCTTTTTCTGATCGTCCTTTTTATTATTTTATTTGCAAATGCTCATTTATGTGATAATTTTTGTGTTAGTCTTTTCGAGCAAAGAAAACCTGATTAATAATTGCCGTGTTGGCACTTTATGGTCTTGATGTATTAGATTGCTTGATGGACTTGTGTTCCTAAAATTTCTACTTCAAGTGATCAAGTTAATTCCGAAAACACGGGTCATTCAATCAGAATTCGGTATAAAACGTATATATTGATGATAAGAACCGATTATTAAGGTTGTAATTCGGATACTGTAAGAGATCAGCTACGAGTAACACTATGAAGTTTGTTGTCGAGTGTGCACAGCGAACGAGCTTAATAAAGCTTCATATAAATGTCTTAAGCAGCTGATATTTTTCAAAATAAATATGACGAAAATCAGATAATCCATTTATCAATTTAGATTGTATATTTGTCTTTTTCATGATAGAAGTAATGATTTTATTTGTTTTAACAGCAAACTGGATGATAACTTGATAAGTTCGGTTCAAACTTAAAAACGTCGGTTCAAAAATATAGCCGCTGTTAATAACTCAGGTTATTTAGATCGGGTCATTCATGTTTGACGTTACAAAGATGTGATATTCATTTTCATGGAGGGCTGATTTGAGTGATACAGCCACACGAATTTTACTAATTTTATAAATCAATAGGTAGTTGTAAAAGGTTTTTATTGTTTTCTTATATAAAGAAAACAGCTGTAAATGTTCTAACATCTCCATTTTTACACCTAATATATATATGTTTCAAGTAAAGAACAATATCTGTTTGTAAGATGCTTTGAAGAAGCAGCAATAAAAAAAGTCTTTAAAGCCAGTACATTCTAGTTCAACCTGAAAAGAAAAAGTTCAGAAAGTTTTACATACGTTTTTCTTTTATATTCGTTGTATGAAAATTAATTAGATATGAATACATTATATGTATTCGTGGGTGCAGGTCATGTCATATCCTCCCCTTTTTAAATCGTATAGTTTCAAAAATAACTAGATCAATATGATATTGTAATGATTTAATATTTTCAACAACTAAGATCAATTTCACAGTCAATGGCAAGTAAAAAATAACCAACAGCGATAATTGAACGTTGGTCATGGCAAAGAGAATTATGGGATTAATAATGCAACTTTGATAAAACTTCTCGGGAGAGTATTTACACTAATTTGCATTTTCAAGAAACAAATTGTTCATAAACATGAAAGAAAGGGGACAATTAAAGAACGATAAAGAACACATTTACATCTGTGTTAAAAGCCATGAAGTGTGTTTAGTATAAATATGTTACATGGATCAGGGAACGAATTTCAGAGCTTCGGTATCGATATGATTTTTGGCTTCTTTTTTTTTCTAAAATTCGCCGTTGATATCTTAAAAAAATTGTTTGTCTTTACGATGTTTTTCTTTTTTCCCATGGTGTTGACAGTTTTACTTCGATTGATGGTTTTCCATTGCTCTCTTCGTATCTCCTCTCTCTTTTTAAGAAGCTTATGAAAGACGAATCCGTCACCTTTACTTGTATCTATTATCAAGCGTGGGAAATTCTTTCGTTTTATTTATTTTTCTCTTTTGGTGTTTTTTTTGTTTGTTTCTATATTTTCTTTTGTAATTAATCTATTTGGGTTAATCAGTGAATTGACTCAACTCATGGAGTATCACGAATGAAAAAATGCTCTCATTCACTTAAATAGTTAAACATGTTTTAAAAAAAACCGCAACAATGTTCAATTTCACTATATATATCGTATACGATCTATTTTTACTACTACTACTACTACTACTACTATTTATAGGAAAATAACATTTATTAATAATAAGAGACCATGTCTCGTGCTTCATTTATAAGGGCTTCGGTGGCCGAATGGTCTTAGAAGTTGACTGTCTTTAGTGATTTTTATTCTACATATTAGAATAAAATTTTATCAAAAGAAAGTTGTCGGACTACGGTTTCACTAGCCTGTCAACACTGGGGTTGTGAGTTCGAAACCCGTACATGGCAGGTACGCTCGACTCCAACCTTAATTGACTAGGATTATCAGTTTTCCAAACGAAGGTCAGTGGTTTTCTCCGGGCAGTCCGGCTTCTTCTATCAATAAAAACTGACTGCCACGAAATAGCACAGTAGTGCTTAGAGTGGCTTTAAACACCAATCAATCATATCAAATCGTGCTTCCTTCCGTTTACGTTTTCTGGTATTATAATTTAATACATTTCGAAAGATTTTCTTCAGAAATTTGCAAGTTTTACTCCTCATCATAGTTGATGAAATAGCTTGTCTTTACTTTTGATCTTACGAGTTGTCAATGCTAGGAAACAATATGTAAGTACGAGTGCTTGTGTCTGTGCGATATTGACAGACATATGTGTGAAAACAAAATAGATGAAACTGCGAGAACCATAAATCAACTTTCTCATAAACTATGGGATACAGATGTAGACAGTTATCATAAAATCAAAATGGAGGTATGAAATTTGATAAAAAAACAGCATAGGGGAGTATGACAACAGAAAAAAGCCAAAGATGAAAAAGATAAGAGAAAATTAACTCTTCAACTGTAATTGTAACACAGATATGAACAAACATAATTTCCAGAAATTGTCAGATGACAGTGGATCAATCAGTGATGATAATCTTATCAGAATGAAGATTAGACGAAATGGAAATTGTTTCTACAGATGAGTGATTCTTTTTTTTTTATGGAATTGGAAACCACCATAATAAAATAAAACAAAAAACAGTCAAGTATTTGAAAGAACATAAAGATACATTTTTACCTTTTATAGATGAAAACTTTGGTTCATAGGCAACAGAAGCTGAAATAACTGCAGTAAGTGAAATGTATAACTTTACAAATTTTAAAAACTAGAATATATGGAGAAACTGCATGGACCAAATATTCTCCAATGAATAGTACAAACAATAATGAAAGATGAATAGCCATTGAACATTTACAAAATCCTTTTAATTTAGTAAGATTTAAGCAGAAAAAATGTATATGTGAGCAGATTCCTCTTACAACAAACAACATTCAAGAACAAGAGAACACAATTAAGAACAGAGAAGTACAAAATGATTATATAGATTGGGTTGATCAATCTGACCAAAAAACAACTATTATTAAAGACAAAATCTCCATTAATCATCAACCTGAGAAGGACAAAAGAAGTACACAAGAAAAGGGAGTCACAAATACAATTTGCCCAGTCATTAACTGTAAGTAGAAATCTAAATACAGAACACATGTCACTGTTATCAAAAGGCTTATCTTTCATTCATGCTCAGAAGAAAGTAAACATTGGGAAAAGTTTAGCAGATTTGACAGAATGGGAAAGAAGAATGAGACCAAAAGAATACTTAACAACAACAATGATATTAAAGAGAAATCAGAATGTAGTACAAAACGTCGAAAAAATTAAGAATTTATACCAAAGTCAGGAAAGAACATCTGGTTAGATACTTACATAGAAGTAGTAAAGGGAGATGTCGTGAATGGTCTCAAAAAACGAAAGTTAAGAAAGCAGAAAATGCTCTAAAGGATATCTTAAAAGATGATAATATAGTTATACATGTTATACGGCCTGCAGAGAAAGGATCAGGAATAGTAGTTATTGACAAAGAAGAATATTTTAAGAATTTAAGGATTTGTAATAACATAAGCAACACGACGGATGCCACATGTGGAGCAGGATCTGCTTACCCTTCCGGATCACCTGAGATCACCCCCAGTTTTTGGTGGGGTTCGTATTGCTTAGTCTTTGGTTTTCTATGTTGTGTCATCTGTACTCTTATTTGTCTGTTTGTCTTTTTATTTTTGGCCATGGCGTTGTCAGTTTGTTTTCGATCTATGAGTTTGACTGTCCCTCTGGTATCTTTTGTCCCTCTTTTAAGAAACTAGAAGAAGAATTAACAAACAATGATACTTATTCTGAGACGGAAAAAAACAAAACACATGAAATTACGAAAAAGGTAAAATCGTTAGTAAATAGATGAACAAAGAAGGATCCATTTCTGGTGAAATGAAAACTTATTTAGTACCAAAATATCCACATCCAGCAAAATTCAAAGGCAATCCAAAAATCCACAAACAGAACAAACCGTACAGAACAATCGTAAATGGGATAGGTACTGCCACTTAAAGAATTGCAGAAATAGCAGATAAGGTTAAACAGCCAAAACCAAAAAGCAGCATATTGTTTTGTTTGATGTAGTAAAATTATACCCGTCTATCCCAAGAGAAGAAGGTCTGCAAAATAAAGAAATTCCAAACAAGGATATCCTAGAAATGATAAAATTAGTAGTTTTAGAAGGAAATAACTTCAAATTGATGGACAGAGATTTTTGCAAAAATAAAGGTGTTGCTATAGGATCAAAACTAGGGAAAAAATTTGCTTGTACTTATATGCGACAATGGGACAAAGAGCTGGAGAAATTCAAAGACAAACCATTATTTTACAAGCGGTTCATTGATGATGGTTTTGGAATTTGGACGCATGGGGAAGAAAAACTCAAAGAATTTATGGATTTTGCAAACTCTATTAAAACCAAAATTAAAGTTGAACTGAGATATCACAGCAGTCATATTGAATTCTTAGACATACTTGTTAGAATTAAAAATGGCAGAATAACAACAGATCTTTACACCAAACCTACTGACAAACATATCTATGTCAACAGCAAATCTTGTCATCCAAAAAGTGTAAAAAAGGCAATTCCGTATGGTTTAGTATAACGATTGAGGAGAATTTGCGAAAGTGAAGAAGACTACCAAAGACGCAGATAAGAACTTGAATTACAACTGCGAAAAAGAGGCTACAATGGAAAATTTATTGAAAACCAACTAAAAAGAGCAGACAACCTAAATAGAAAAGAAGTGTTACAAAAAAAACCAAAAATCAAAAATACAACAGAACGTGTACCTCTTGTGATTACCTTTACTGACCTACTACTAGATATACATGACATTGTGAAAAAAAGAATCAATATTTGACATAACTGTAACTTTATGAAAGAAATATTTCCAGAGCCACTGCTTGTAGCTTACCGAAGAGATAGGAACTTGGCAGACATAAAAGTACATGGGAAGTTAAATAAAATCACTAAAAAAAATGATTAGCAACAGCAACACCAAAACATGTAAAGAAGAACGTGAAGTGTGCAATATTGAAAGAAATGAAGAAAAAATTGTACTTAAAGGTAAGACAATCACTTTCAAAGACAACATTTACAGATGTAAACGTGTAAACAAAGAATCAAAGAACACCTAGCAGATATTAGACATAACAGGGAAAAAGCTGTAGCTGAACACTTTAACCAGAAAGACCATGTTAAAGAGGACATGACAGTTCAAGTTATTCAACAAATTTACGAAAAATTTGCGAATTATAGAAGATATATTGAAGCACAGTGGATGCAAAAACTAAAAACAATTAGGCCATTTGGGGTCAACATTAAAAAAGAATGACTTTAATTCAACTAATTTCATATACTTTGACTTTCATTCATAAAAAGATACTATGACGTCATGTTATTGTGACGTCAAATTATTGTGACGTCATAACATTACCAAGGAACTAATCTAAAACATCTTAATGATTGTGAAAGCAAATTGTCTACCATGTAGTTAAGTAGGATAATAAAGAAACTGAAGAAGGTCAGTGGCCGAAACGTCTGACAAAATGGTTTATTTACTACAATAATATAATATGTGTTCCCTATTGGAATTTTGAAACAAGGAGAAACATATATGATAATCACAAGGAACAATATCATATTGATATATTTTGATCCTTTTGAGTATATAAAATCCAAATAAGACGATGCTCCAAATGGACTATAAAAAATACAAGTAGGAGTACAGACAATGTCTTGGTCAAAATACAAAAGGCGACCCCTCCTCCCCCCCCCCCCCCACAAAAGTAACTCAGAGAAAATTTATATTTATATGATATTAAGCATCAGTATGCCCATCTAAAACTTGGAGCTTCGCTAATCTATTTAAGAGCATATCCAACAGTTAAAGGGGAGGTAATAACAAACGTAAACGTCGTCTATTGTTTCCCGTAATTTAACGTTGTTTCAACGACGTCATAACGGAATCACCATTTAAATTGCTTTGGCCGTCGGGAAAGGGTGGTTTCTTTCCTCAAAGGAAAGGGCACGGCGGGAATAGGCCAAAAAACTAATGGAGAATGTTAACAGAAATAGAACTCTAATCTTAAAAGTTAGTAAGAACATCGCTGATAAACCTGTTATTCAGATAGACCAAGAGGACAAAGATATTACATGGAAAGATGGTCGGCGCTTAGTTGAACTTTCTTTACTGGCCGAAGCTTTAAAAGCATGTGTTGGTTGTGACTCATACTTGCTATTGCACAATACAATGAACGAACAAAGATTTTGGATTTGCTAGTATTTTGAACATTCGTTGTGAACAATGTGGATATTTGAATTCAATACCAACCAGCAAAAGACATTTTACAGGACAACGAGGACCTGGCGCATTTGACATAAATACCAAAATGGCACTAGGTATGATAATACAAATATCACATCTTTAAATTATTTTAGCGTAATCCCATATTTATTCATTACTTAATATTTACATCCTTCGCATCATAAAAGAACTGCAGTCATCTCGATCATTATAGACCATACTCACTTACGTTTCCGTTTTATTAAAATTATCTTCAATACAGTATAGAACAACGAGAACAAATGCGTAATGATTTATTATTGCAATGTTTACATTAGAATGCAACACAAATTGCAATTAATTCTTTACCAAACTTTTCCGAGATTTTTTTCAATCAGGATAGAAAACTCACAGTTTGGTTTTACTTGAGAAAGATAAAAAATTTTGGGTTTCTTGAGAAAGATAAAATACGGCGTAAACTAACATTTATAATGCATCTAGCATCTAGCTTTGCGTTGAAGTGCTAATATACAGTAGCTCTTTGAATGAATACGACCTTTTACTGATATACAAAGTAATACAAAAGATGACACCGTAATAAAAAAAATTTGAAATCGGAAAACATTGTCATATATACACTGACATAAGTGGGAAATATCTGACATAGAAGTTTGCACTTTAACCAAGCCGGTACAAAGCGAACCCATCCTTCTTCCGACGATTTTGGTGTTTACTTATGTATGAGGAAACCAATATAATTTAACAAAAAATATCTTGTAGTAACTGTTCATTATCCGTACATTACCAATAGTGAGTTCGAGTTTAAGTTTTACAGATATTGGAATTGAAAAAAAATTATATAAATTATTAATGTAATTTTTTTATTGTAGGAATGACCCATTGTGGTTCAGGACATCGACAACTCAATAAGTTGTTTGCAACAATTGGAGTTCCGGGTATTTCTGCTAATGCCCTCAAGACACAAGAGAGTGAAGTGAATAAACCCCTTGTAGATACAGCGAAAAAATCTTGCCTTGAAGCCATTGAAGAGGAGACTGCTTTAATGCTGTAAGTTGGGAACAACATTGTGTTGTATATATGATCCATATTTGTAATTGTTAAAGAAATGGTACTACTACATCAAGGTCAAGTTCAGGTCAAAGTTTCTGGTAGACAGCACAAGTCAGCATACGGTACAGTTTTGACACGAAATAACTGCCACTTTATTTGAACTTAAGACAAAGTAGCCATTTATGCTTGAAATTGCAGAATTTAACATAGAAAGCAATGGGCTATGAATTAGTGGTTTTATACCTGAAGAACGAAATATCTTAAAGGGAAAAAATTCTCACCGTCAGAAATAAACAGTTGGATATACCCTTAATGCAGAAATGGGAAATTTCTACTTTTAAAGAAAAAATTGGAATCTAGAAAATTTTATTGGAATATCTTACTACGTAAGAAAGATGTCTATATCAGAAGGAAATTTACTGAAAATGATTCTAATGTATTTGAAAAAATACATTATTAGAAGCATTGAAGAAAAAAAGTCCCAACAGAACCGTCCAAATCCTGTTTACGTTAACTTTACCTGAGAAGTCGTAACCTTTGTTCTTACCTTAATTTTATAAAGTGTCGCCGTATCTTTTATTTTTATTTAACTGCCGTAATCGTAACCATATCCATGTCCCTTATTTACTGTGATTTTTGTTTTACCAGTTCCATGACCGCCGTAATCGTTACCACATCCATGTCCTTTATTTACTATGATTTTTGTTTTACCATTTTCATTACCGCCGTAACCGTTACCATATTCTTGTCCTTTATTTACTATTATTTTTGTTTTACCATTTCCATAACCGTCGTGATTGTAACCATATCCATGTCCTTTATTTACTATAGTTTTTGTTGTTTTACCATTTCCATAACCTTCATAATCGTTACCATATCCGTGTCCTTTATGTTTTATGATTTTTGTTTTACCATTTCCATAACCGTCGTAACCGTGGCCATGTCCATGTCCTTTATTTACTATAATTTGCGTTCTTTTACCATTTCCGTAACCGCTATAATCGTAACCATATCCATGTCCTTTATTTACTATAATTTTCGTTGTTTAATCGTTTCCATAACCGTAATAATTGTAACCATATCCATGTCCTTTATTTCCATAATCGTCGTAACCGTTACCATATCCATTTCCCTTCTTTACTATGAATTTTGTTTTATCATTTCCATAGCCATCGTAATTGTTACCATATCCATGTCCTCTATTTCCATAACCGCCGTAACCGTAACCATATCCATGTCCTCTATTTCCATAACCACCGTAACCGTAACCATATCCATGTCCTCTATTTCCATAACCACCGTAATCGTAACCATATCCATGTCCTTTATTTACTATGATTTTTGTTTTACCATTTCTATAACCGTCGTAACTGTAACCATATCCATGTCCTTTATTTACTATGATTTTTGTTTTACCATTTCCATAACCGCCGTAACCGTAACCATATCCATGTCCTTTATTTACTATAATTTTTGTTTTACCATTTCCATAACCGCCGTAACCGTAACCATATCCATGTCCTTTATTTACTATAATTTTTGTTTTACCATTTCCATAACCATCGTAACCGTAACCATATCCATGTCCTTTATTTCCATAACCGTCGTAACCGTAACCATATCCATGTCCCTTATTTACTATGATTTTTATTTTACCATCTCCATAACCGTCGTAACCGTTACCATATCCATGTCCCTTATTTACTATGATTTTTGTTTTACGATTTCCATAACCGTCGTAACCGCGACCATATCCATGTCCCTTCTTTACTATAATTTGCGTTCTTTTACCATTTCCGTAACCGCCATAATCGTAACCATATCCATGTCCTCTATTTAGTATCATTTGCGTTATTTTACCTTTTCCATAACCATTGTAATTGTTACCATATCCATGTCCTTTATTTACTATGATTTTTATTTTACCATTTCCATAACCGCCGTAATCGTCACCATATCTATGTCCTTTACTTACTATTATTTTTGTTTTACCATTTCCAGAATCTCCGTAATCGTAACCATATCCATGCCTTTTATTTACTATGATTTTTGTTTTACCATTTCCATAACCGCCGTCATCGTAAGCATATCTATGTCCTTTATTTACTATGATTTTTGTGTTACCATTTCCATAACCGCCGTAATTGTACCCGTATCCATGTCCTTTGTTTACTATGATTTTTTATTTACCATTTCCATAACTG